TTCTGAAATAAATAGGGAGAGAGAGGGAGGGAGGCAGATAGAAGATGGATAAAGGAGAAGATAGGTGGAGAGGAGACAGACAGGTCAAAGAGGTGGGGGTGGAGCCAGTAAAATAAAATTTATTTCAGAATCCCCTTCCCCTCCCCCATTTCTGAAGAAGGGTCTAGGCCCGAAACGTCAGCTTTCCTGCTCCTCTGATGCTGCTTGGCCTGCTGTGTTCATCCAGCTCTACACCTTGTTATTTCAGATTGTCCAGCATTTGCAGTTCCTGCTCTCTCTTGAGTAAAGTATGTTTGGTGATAAGACCATGTTTGAGATAGTGCAAATGTTAAGATAGGAGATAAAATCAGAAATGTGGCTTAAAGGGTAAAACAAGAGGGAAAAACTAGTAACATTTGCAAATGAATGTAGTGGTCATACTCCAGTACCTCTATTTTGAAATAACGCTGATGAGTTGGACCTCATTTGCCAGTTTTACTGTTTTTCCCTTCTGAGAGAAAAGAGTTAAAGTTTAGAAACTGTGGTGTGGAAAGCAAGATTATGATAGCAAATGTAGTAAGAGACTGGGAGAAAGATGGAGATTTTACAAGAAATGGACTAAAACAGAGCACAATCCAACTGATGGTGAGAGTCAGAGATAGTAGGAACTGCAGATGCTGGAGAATCCGAGACAACAAGGTACAGGGCTAGATGAACACAGCAGGCCAAGCAGCATCATAGGAGCAGAGAGGCTGACGTTTTGGGCCTAGACCCTTCATGCTGCTTGGCCTGCTGTGTTCATCCAGCCCTGCACCTTGTTGATGGTGAGAGTCAGTGGGTTTGTGGTAGATATCTATAGAAAGCCAATTGCCAGAGGTGGACACAGAGGTCAAAAATGGATTAGGGAAAGAAAATAGGTGAAATTTGTAAACACAATAATGATATTAATATAAATAAAATCCTCACTTGGCTTTGCAAGGACTGAAGCCTGTAACATGATACATAATGTACGTTTCTTTCTCTGTCAGAATTATAGAGTTTTTACAGCATAGAAAGATGCCCTTTGGCCTATTGTGTCCACGCTGGTCATCAAACATCCATCCATTCTAATCCATTTTTGCAGCACTTAGACCACAACCTTGTATGCAATGGTGTTTCAAGTGCTCATCTTTACATATCTGTTAAATGTCTTGAGGGTTCCTGCTTCTAGCATCCCTTCAGACAGAGAATTCCAGATACCCACAACTCTTTTAATGAAAACTATTGTCCTCAAATTTCCTTGAAACCTCCTGCTTGTTACCTTAAAACTGTACCTCCTGGTTATTGACCCTTCTACTAAGGGGAAATATTTCTATCTACCTTGTCTATGCCCCTCAAAACTTTGTACACCTCAGTCACACCCTCCCTTAGCCTTCTTTGCACTAAGGAAAACAACCCAAGTCTATTTGGTCTCTCTTCATAGCTGAATAGCTCTAGCCCAGGCAACTTCCTGGTGAATTTCATCTGCATCCTCTGTAATGCAATCACATCTTCCTATAGTGTGGTGACCAGAACTTGTCACAGTACTCCATGTGTGACCTAAGTAACAAAAATAGCACCATTATAATCTCCTTGCTCTTGTATTCAAAGCATTTACTAATAAAGGCAAATACCTAATATGCCTTCTTGACCACCTTATATATCTGCCCTGCTGTTTGCAAGGATCTGTAGACATGGACACCAAGGTCCCTCTGATCCTCTGTACATCCTGGGGTCCTACCATTCAATATGAACTGTCTTGTCTTTTTAGTCCTCCAAAAATGCATTACCTCACATTTTTCTGGATTAAACACCACTTGTTAATTTTTCAGCTAGTCTGACCAGCTCTTCTATATCATCCTGTAGTTAAAGGCTTTCATCACACTATTTACCCCACCATCAATTTTTATGTCAATTGCAAATTTACCAATCATACCTCCTATATTCATGAATATAAACAGCAACTGACTCAGCACTGAACCCTCTGGTACACCAATGGATATTGGCTTGGAGCTACCATAGCACCTCTTGACCATCACTTTGCTTCCTGCCCCTAATCAATTTTGGATCTCATTTGGCAATCTGCCCTGGATCCCATAGGGTCTCAGCTTCTTAACCAGTCTGCCATGCAAGACATTGTCAGAAGTCTTACTAAAGTCCATGCAGACAGCAACAAGTGTACTACCCTCATCTACACACCTTGTCACCTCCTTAAAACAGTCAATCAAACTTGGTAGACATGATCTCCTCCTTACAAAGCATACCGACCATCCTTAATTAATCCTTGACTCTCCATGTGGAGATTAATTCTGTCCCTCAGAACACTTTTCAATGGTTTCCCTACCACAGATGTTACACAAACAGGCCTGTAGTTTCCTAGTTTATCCCTATCACTCTTCCTGAATACTGGAATCACATTAGCTGTCCTCCAGGCCTCTCACACCCTACCTGTGGCCAGAAAGGAACTGTCTTTCTAACCTCTTTCATGCTCTTACCCCCTTGATACAAACCAGCTTTTGATGCAGTATTGCTGACGAGAGAAAATCAAGCTGGAATGCATGTTTAATATGAGATCAAATATGTACATGTTTTTAAAGTTTAGAGTACTTTTTACATTGCAATTTGCTGGGTACATTACCTCTTCATGTCTCAGCATGTTGTTAATTTTCACTTTTTCTTTGTCTAGTTCATTACTAATAATTTTGAGCTGCTGTGTTGTGCTCTCTAGTTGACTAGTTAGAAGTTTAACTTGCTCTTCAAGAGTCAGCACCACACTTTTGTCTGCCATGTTGGTTCTCATTTCTTCCAGCAGCATCTTCTTAGACAGCTCTGTCCAAAAATTACAACAGAATTACAATTCCAAATAAATACCTATAATCTTGAAACTTTATACTGTTGCTGTTTTGCATTTTGGAGTTCAGTCTCCGTGAGCAGATTTGTGACACCTAAGTTACTAAATCTGGCTCCCAAATCTGGGGCAGTATCATGGACATATGGTAAAGTAGGTCTAAGAGTTTGCCAGATTTTGCAGTGTAAATGCCAATAGCTGGCTCACAAATGCCACTTGCCAAGGATCCAAACTGAAAGGACATTAAATTCAATATTAGACTCAGTATTAGTGAGACTTACCTGAAGAGATGTACTGGTCTGCATTAAAGGTATCCTGACAATTTGCTATCTGTTTTATGAGTATGGATGTGTTTTCTTTTTAATTCATTCATGGGCATTGGACAGTCCTGGCCAGGCCATTATTTGATTTCCATACCTATACAATTAAGTCTACCATTTGTTAGCCCATTCTGGAGGGAAGTTAAGGGTCAACTTCATTGTTGTGACTCTGAAGTCATGTACAGACCAGACAAGGCTCAGCACAGCAGATTTTCTTTCTCAGATGACATTCGTGAACTAGTTCGGTTTTTACAACATTTTTTTAGTTTCATGACCAGCATTACCAATACTATTTTCTTATTGGCTGAATTTTGAAGTTGTTATGGTGGGATTTGAATTTGTGTCTCTGAATCATTAGTCTAATCACAATCACTTTATTACAGTATTCAGGATCAGGAATGTGCAGATGGTTGTTATTATTGATAAGCCCTCATCAAGTCATGATTATTCTCTCTTATAATGTCAGCATTCGTTTTGGTTTCACAAATAGATAGGATTCTGAAGCTGAACTTTACAGGCTGTCTCAGTCAGAGCATCTGTTATTGGCTTGTGGAGATGATGGAGATTGTTGGCTTGAACAGTTGGCCTCTTGTTTCATCTCTGTCTCCGTTCTCTGTCAGTGGTTGCTTTTGTTGATTGGAAGGTCTTCACACCATTTTTGATGATGAATCACCATTTTGATCATGACTGGGCATTTGTTTCCAAGGTTAATTGAGCAGAACCTCATGTAGACTTTGATATTATATTTGAAATCCCTTTTTATCCTTTGGTTCCAGTGCAAATGAATTCCCTGCTGAACTCTGAGTACAGAACCTTGTGTAGGCAGTATTATGTTGGGTATTCTGATGGCACTTCCCATCTATCTGAATTATTGAGAGATTATCATGGCCTCTCAACTTGCCATATCTTCTCCTTGGAAGCTGCTTGGTCTTCTGTCATTCCAATTCTTATGCAATATTCATCCCAAACAGCAATAATAATGTTATTGGGCCTTGATATGGCATCCAGAAAAGTTGTCCAAGTTTCAGAATCAAGAGAAGTAGAAGAACCAATGTTTTGAACACTTAAAGTCATGGGAGATCTGATATCACAATTCTTAAAAACATGAGTATGTAATTTGTTGCAGGCTGAGCTAGAAAATTGGATTCAGTCATGTACCTCCTATCATTGTCAGTATTTGGGGATAGGTAGCTTACAAGATGTGGGAAATAAGGGACATTTCCAATATTTCACTATGAATCTCAATTGAAGACGCTGGATTTGATAAATTTGGTGTGGGTAAGTGGGGGGATTTCTGGGTATGCAAGATAAGTAAGCTCTCAAAGACTTTGCTGAAAAAGCCACTCATCTGTTGTGGTTTCTCTTCAGGACAAGCACTAAGTTGTGAGTCATCAGTATTTTGGATGTCCCTTCATTCCAGGGACTGCAGCAGTCCAAGGCAGCTTACTAGCACTTTATCAAGGGCAATTATGGACAGGCAATGAATGCAGGCTTAGCCAACAACATCCACATTCTAAGCAAAAAAAAATTAAAAATCAGCATACTGTGATTCTATTACAGCAGCGGTTGTTGTTTTGGTTTTGGCTGATTGAGGTTAAACAGTTTATCATCAACGCAATTAATTACTACCATACCTAGAGGAGAGCCTGTCAGAATTAAGTTGTGGCATTTCTGCTAAAACAAAATGAGAATAGTATTGGTGCAAGAACATATCCCAGTTTTATGCTTGTTTTGACAGGTAAGGAGTCTGGTGAAGTCTCCTATTATTTGCAATAACTGCTTATTGCCGTATTGGAGACCAATTATATTTATGAACCTAGCTAGGCATCCCTTTTACTGTAGCACATTCCAAAGAACAGAGTCACACGCTGTTGTGAGATCCAAGAAAACCATGTACAAAGGGATGTTCTATTCTCTTTATCAATCCTGAAGCTGATGCATTATGAAGTTCTTGCCAATGGTTCCTCTGGCGGGCCTAAGTGACACTGGGACTCTGGAAGGACCTGCTCTGCAATTGGTGAGAGGTAATTAAGAAGTAATTTAGCTAGGACTTAGACAACAGTTGAGAGCAATGCTGTGCCTTTATAGTCAGTAATGTTCAGCTTGTCCCCTTTCTTGAAGATGGTGATCATCACGACACCTCTAAGGTCACTTGAAATTTCTACGTTCTTCCATAGTTTCACAGACAGTTCTACTAATGGTGAAGCAAGCATGTTCTATGAAATACTGAAACTTGGTGCCACTCCAGTTTTCCAAGTGTCCCAAAATGATTTTTTCAGGAGTTTCTATTCTGCACAATTCTGGTTAACTGCATTAGATAATTTGGTTAAAAAATTGATGTTCTCCTGGTTAAATTTTAGTTATTTGCTATTTGGTTTAAAGCTGCATTAAAGCTATAATGTAGAGCTTTCCATTTATTTAGTTTGCAAATATCAGGTTTTGTTCCAACCATTGTGCAGGAAAACCAAGATCTCTCCTGGAACATGATTTTGCAATGTTGTAATTATTAAGTGTTTGATGTGGGAAGTGTATTGAGGCATATTGAAAGTGGTGGTGGTCTGAACTTGCCAGACATGAAGGCTCCTATTGCACTTCAGTAGACATGTTGCCAGCTGCTTGATATAAAAAGAATAGCTGGTAACCAGATGGAGGGAAGAAAACCACTAAGAAGAGCCCAAGGGACTGCCAGTAAGTTGAAAGTCAATGGGGAAAGTTCGGGTGTGATCAAAGCAGTACTGATGGAATTAATGAGCACACATAATCCTGGCACCAACAGTGACTCTGAAAGATCCAAGTACAAGATGAAAATTCTTCATATATGACTTAGATCTCACTTTAAAACATAAGAAAGTGAACATTTCTTAATTTCAAGCCTCCTCTGCTCCGCTTTGCAAGCATGTAACTAGCAACAAAACCACAACTCGATCCAAAGAGGTGAAAGAAACTCTAGGAAAAGAGTATTGCAGACTTACCAAGATCTCGTATTAATACATGCTGCCCTTTGACTTCCTCCTTCAGGATTGATAGTTTCTCCTCTAATGTAGCACTTCCTAAAACAGAACTACAGAATTAACATCAGGATACTTCACAGTTTTTCACATCTCAGCTCTGTCCTATTGGATGTAATGGCTAGATTTTCAGAGCCTTGGAGACTCCATTGCTTATCCAAACTGGTTCAAGGAACCAAGATCTTAAGTCCCATCCTAATTTCTGACAGATCCTATTTTTAGGCAAGGGAGCAGGACTAAAAGGGGGCAAACAAAAAAATTCAGCGAGGCCATTAGAACTCTTGCTTATTTCAAACAGACCCAATGTTTTGCTGTAGCAAAGGCCATATCCTGCAGTTTGTGAGATATAATTTTTTTTAAATAAATGTAAATGCTTGTAAATAGCTGATAATGTCTGTGAAACTGCCAAGTCATTTAAATGGTCAGCCTTTTAAATTTTGGAAATAAAAAAACCTTGCTTAGTCTGCAAGATCAATAAAATCTGTGCTTGGAGTTTCAATAGATGTATATTGACATAATCCAAGTGTTATCATTATGTGCCTGACTGCTTTCACAACTTGACATTATTACAGTGGAATGCTGTGCGTTCACTGTTTCATTGACAGCTCACAGTGGTCATTAAGAGATAAGCTGTCTTTGATACAAGGTCATGAATAAAAATGTTTGTTTTTTTCAAGGAATTACATACCTGAGAAAATATACGTGTATAAAATGGAGCTTTAGGAATGAAAATGCTTATTTTATAAAGCAAAGACTGTAATAGGTGCATAAAACTATATTTTATTTCATATTAGAATGGTTCAGGAGGTCTACTAGTAGTGGCTTCTGGGTGAGTTGGTAGTGTGCAAAGGCAAAGGGTGGTGGGTAGGGGCATAGGTTGGCATGCTTGGGGTATTGGAGAGTAGGAGATGAGGAGGTAAGCACTGGGGGCATGATACTTGACAACACAGCTCCAAAACAGCTGTTCCAAAGTTCCAAAGATGGGTCTTTTAATCAGCCCTCTTTGGCATGAAGCAGTCTTCAAGGCCGCATCTGATCAGTGGCTGGGGAAGGCAGGCCCAACTGCAGCATGCATTTGCCCACCCCCACCATCCCGGAACAAACATCCCACCATTCAGAATACTTTATCTTGAAGTAGACATGGCAGAAAATTTCTCACTCTTGATTCACATCTGGGCAGGAGAAGTCCAGGCCAAAGAATGACAGAAACAGGAAGTATTCAGTCATTTTCAGGATGAGGGTGAAGATTTTGATGATCAAACTTTTAAATAAACTCACGCATAACTGAAAATATTTTTTAAAAAATATAACAGAAAAGCAAAACACTGCAGCTGCTGGAAATCAGAAATAAAAACAGCTAAATGCTCAAAATGTTTAGATGATTAAGCAGCATCTGTTGAAAAAGAAACTTAATATTTCATCAGAACTGGGAAGAAAATAGAATGTTAATAGATTTTAAGCAAGTACAGCAGATGAGAAGAGAGATGGGGAACTGAGAAGAAAAGTCAAGATCTTGTGAAAGAGTGGAAGATGTATGTGATTAAAGAAAACATAATATGCTTTAAGTCATGGGAATTTGATCAATCATTCAATAACCAATGAAGGTATTTCCTTGGCAAAGTGACACCTACATAATTGAAAAATATTTTGTTTCCCTGTAAGCATCTAATATCAAATTCATACTACCTTTCCTCAGCATTTCTTTGTCACGTTCCAGTTTTGTTGCTCTCTCAGAATTATTTCTGTTTATCTCCTTCATTTGTTTGTCAAATTCTTGTGTTTTCAAATGTTGCTGTTCTTTTTCTTTTTTGAGTTCTTCATTGAATTTATCAATTGTCTTTTTCATTTGACTTTGCTGCTCAGCTGCGGTCTGCAGCTCAGCTTTTAGTGGATTAATGCTATTCATGAGTTCAGTGAGATGTTTATTTATTCGGGCCAGGTCTTTGCTCTGTTCAGAAGCCCAATAGGCTATATCGGTTGCTGTCAACATTCCATCACCCAGGGTTTCCTTCACTACTTCCTGAAACCGGCTCAAAGCTGAAGGGATATTCTGGCCTTGGCAAATGGCGATGATGGAATTGCTGACCATTTTAAGGGTTGCTTGTGTACGGTCACAGGCGTCACATGGTACGAGAGCTGATTCCACTGTCTGTGAACCAATGTTCCGAGTATCTGTAGCTACACTAGGAGGGCTTCTTTGTGCTTCACCTAATCCAGCATTTACAGGTGTAAGAGAGACCTGTGACAGTGTCATCCCAGTGGACTTGCTGCTTTTGGGGGGTGATGGCAACTTACAAGTTTCAGATGAACAATTCTTCAATCTTTCAATCTCTGCCTTGGAATTCATCAGATCGCTTTGCAGCTTGGAAAGATTCATCGCCATCAAATTTTTCTATTAAAATAGGAATATAATTCAATAGATTAAAAAATCTGTTCTGTTAGTTGCAATACTTCCTATTCAAATTAAATTGTAGCAAACGCATTAAAGGATTTTTGACAAAAGGCAGGTGATGCATAATTATTTGTAGCAATGTTTCTGTAAGACATAAAGCAAGACTTTTTTTTACTTCAGACTATTGTTTTTAAGTTTGCTAGTGGTGAATTGTGAGTGTACTAATAAATCTTAGAAAGTCTTTCTGAAAATCTTGCTTTGAAGTCTGCAAAGTAACCCCACCTCGGGAATGCCTCTCCATTGTTATTGATGGCTGGTGCTCGTCTAACAGTTGTAGTGTCCAGGGCAAATTCAAGTAACTGAGACTCTTTCCCCAAGTAGCAAGGTTGCATTTAGATAGCTGTTAGAATATACACACAGAAGATACATACAGGAAGTAATAAATGGGTACGTAAAAAACATACCACAATAATCGTGAGTGACGTAAATTTTCACATACATTATGAGAATAAGATTGGCAAGGGTGGCCTGGAAAATTGGTTCTTTTTGGGGAGTGGGGAATTATTTCTTACAGCAGTACATTCTAAAGCCAACCAGAGAGCTGACAGTTCCATATCTGGTCTTGTGTAATGAGAAATGATTAATAATTAACCTTGTGGTAAAGGAGCTCGAGGTGACAGTGATCATAACATTACTGAATTTCATGTTTTATTTGAAAGGGTTCATAATTGGTATTTTAAACTTCTGTGGGGAGGCGATGGCCTAGTGGTACTGTTGCTGGATTAGTAACAGACCCAGACAGACTATGGAATTAGAATTCAATAAAAATCTAGAATTAAAGACAAATGATGACCATGAAACATTGTCAATTAATATAAAAACCCATTTGGTTCACATTTGGACCCACATGTAAACCCAGACCCACAGCAATGTGGTTGACTCTTAACTGCCCTCTGATGTAGCCTAGCAAGCCAATCAGTTGTATCAGCTGCTAGAAAGTCTCAAAAACGGAATGAATCTGGACAGGCAATGGGGAGGCAACGGCCTAGTGGTATTATTGCTGGACTGTTAATCAAGTGACCCAGCTAATGTTCTGGGGACTTGGGTTCAAATCCCGCCATGGCAGGTGGTGGAATTTGAATTCAATAAATATCTGGAATTAAGAGTCTAATGATGACCATGAATCCATTGTCGCTTGTTGGAAAAACCCACCTGGTTCACTAATGCCCTTTAGGGAAGGAAACTGCCAACCTTACCTGGTCTGGCCTACATGTGACTCCAGACCCACAGCAATGTGGTTGACTCTTAACTGGCCTCTGGGCAATTAGTGATGGGCAATAAATGCTGCCTAGCCAGTGACACCCTCATCCCGTGAATGAATGAAGAAGGCCATCTGGTATTAGCTAAGGCATCAGAAACTTCAATGTTAACACAGTCCTGTCAATCCTGTTAAGCCCTCCTTACTAACATCAAGGGGGCGAGTGCCAAAACTGGGAGAGTTGCCTCCTGGCCTAGTCAAGGAACAGCTGATGTAGTCATATTCATAAAATCCTAATTTACATATAACCTTGATAATACCACCACCATCCCTGCGTATGTCCTGCCCCACTGAGACAACAGAACCATTAGAGATGCAGCACAGTAGGTTAAGACCACATATTTTTATTTTTCTTTGTTGTAACACAGTCTTGTTCCCAATTCAGTCCGCAATCAAAAATAAAGGACTGAGGAAAGAATTGCTGTACTTCCAGAAAGCAAATTACTGAAAGACACTGTGGGTGATGTTTGCGCTGTTGCTTTGCAAACTGTGGGGGTACATTTTTTAGAGAAGATAGCACAGCACCGGGGTGCATGCTGAAAAGATTTGGCCAGCAACAAGTTGCTGATTGGTTTGTGGAATTGTGTCTAATTGTGGATGCCGAACAACATCCAGATGATGACAATCTTCTGAGTGGCTCGGGGTATTCGAACAGCATTCAGGTGTGAACAATACAATGATAGGTCCTTAGACCTCTGAAAGGAGAGGTAGTGTGTCTCTCTCTCTCCAGTGAAAATACCTGAAGCTAAAGAAAATGAGTTGTTTTCTCCCACTAATTGATGTAATCTGTTACTTTTAACCAATAAGTCAGAGTCATTATAACTTATGAACTAGTCACTCTATGCTTTCTTGAAAAAGTAAAAGAATCCAAAGGAAAAGCTCAGAGAACTGAAGGACTTGGGAAACAAAATGAACTCCTCCATCAAACCTGATGACTAGTGACATTGAACTATCTCCTCAATATTTCTTCCCTCCATCTGTAACACCAAATTGTTTGTTTGTGTGTATGTGCACATGGAGGTTTGAAAAGGGTATTAGAGTTTTAACGAATAGAGTTATATGTTGACAGTTCATAGTCATTTACCTGTAATTACAATCTATATCTATGTAGTCATTCCTGTTAAGTACAGAAACTTGGTGCTTGTTTTCTGTAAAACCTGAGTTTGTCAGACAGATAAACTGGGGATATTGCGTCTTTCAATAATGTTTTTAAACTTTTGTGATGACTGTGGGAGTAGCAGAGTTTAATCTCCCACATGCTACTCACCTACTCCTCTGTAGGATTGGATCAATTGCTACTTGGAATCTTTTGACAAGAAAGATCAACATAATATTCGCGAGTATTTAGGTTGCATTTCTTTTAGGTTTGAGGATGATAATACATTATAGTCCTTTAAAAGAGTGGTGATCCCATGCAAAAGAGCTGAAACAAGACACTTCATTAGCACTGAGGAGGTCTCCAATTACGCACCATTATTGTTGAGCAAGTGCTCAATTAAAAAAGCGCAGATGAAACTAGATACATAAAATGACAAAGCTCATATATTTGGGAAAGCGGTGAATTTAAACTTCGCTCAATCAGGGCATTACTACATACCATTAAGGAAACCAGGCATTTCTCATTGAGACATACAGGCAGTACAGGTGACAAGTCTGGCTGACAGGAAATTAATTGACACTATATGACTAGTATAGAGAATGCAAGGATGAATATACCTCAAGATGTTTTTGTGGAAGTCTAAATGAGTCCATTTCTGGAATGTTATAGAATGTGCTTTCTTGAGATAATGGAGAAGTCAGGAGTGTTGCCAGCTGGATAAGACAGACAGTTTTAAAACTAGTGTTGTGTTTGTTCTTTTAAAAGTTTGTACAAATAATCTTCTTTGCTATTTCCGGTCTCAGACGTTAGAGAGATTTCAGAATTTAGAAAGATGTAGGGAGATAGACTTTGATAGATTCAGTAAGACATCACAGTTTGGATTTCTGACAGTGCATGCTTGCAGACTCTGAGCGTGGAATTTGCCGCATGATAACTTGGTATAGTCAGCAGGATCTATTGATGACTTCAAATAAAGGAATGTCCAGGAAACACCAGAAGGTAAGTATTGTTTATTTTATTTCACTCACAGGTCTGGCTCGCTGGTGGGACTTCCTCGTGACCTAGGGGATCACAGAAACTAGAACAGAGTTAGAATGGCTGAAAATCTGTAAGCAAAGAAGGAAAACAAACTAGGGAAAAACAAAAAGTTAAGGAGACAACATTGTACACAGAATCACTGACAAGTAGACCGGGGAGGAGGCTTAGTTGATGCTCCTCAGTGGTGAAATCCCTCATGAGAAGTCTTTAGGCATCCCTAATAATGGATTGGCCACGGTGGACTATTTAACAGGTGCTCCCAAGGGTGAAGATACAGTCAAGCACAGTGTGAATACAGTCAAGCACCTCAGGAAGAGAGCAGAACGGTGAACAAGCTACTGAGCAGATGTTATTTAAAACATTAATTTTGATTTGAGATCAACACACTTATACTAATATAAACTAGACTTGGAATTTGAGAAGGACCAGTCTTTGATTGTAGTTAAACATATGTGGAATTATTCTCAAGTGAAACTGGAAGCTGTAATAGCACTGGCATATATTATGTATTATTATATTATATTATATTATTGTATATTATATTATGTTCTAGAATGCAATTGATTTTTTGACAGAGAAGATTGCATTAGCAGAAAGAGCTATATTGGCAATTGTAGAAGTCTGCAATGGAGACTCTCCATGCGTTCTTGATGGGCTTTCCAAAAAGGTTGTAAAAGGAACAATGAAATTCGAAATAATCCAGAATAGGTTAACCCACAGTGCACACCTGTGTTTACAAGTGGACAAACAAAATCAAGAGCTACAGGAGGTGTAAACAGCTGCAAAGGAGAAGTGATGACTGGCAGGAAAGTGCTGATGTCCCACCTAATAGGGTGCAAGTTATATCTCAAAAGTGGCAAATACCGGAAGACATCATCACAGCCAGTTGCAAGTCTTCTACTGGCCTGAAAATGTAATGACCTGGTGCTTATGGACCTAAAAGCATAGGACTTGGGTTGAGGTTTGTTCATGTTATATTTCGTGATATGACAACTAGATTCAGTCTACTGATAGTGATAAATAGCAAAGACCAACGGACTGTAGTAGACATGTGTCAATATCCAGCTGATGTTACTACTGGATAAGTCAGATCCCAGAATGAAATCTGGGTTGATGGATCATTTTTTTATTTTAAATTTAATGTGGCATAACCGAGACATAAGCACACAAGGCTGCAGATATGTTTTAGAATGACATCAGAGATTTAATACTCAAGTTTATTATATAAATTAATGAAGTAATATAAAACAAACTGAGCTATCTACATATAACATTTTGAAACACTTCAAACCTGATGGCAAAACAAAATCCCATCTACTCTCCAACACCATCACCTCATAGTTATGCAAAAATCCAGATAAATTCCTTTCCTTTCAAATCTGTAGGTTTGACAACTGCTTCTTCTCAGTTCATGCCCTGTGAGCTGAGAAACCTTTTCTCTGAATATTCACACAACGGAGAGCTAAACATTTTAATAATCTGCAAGGTTCTAACCAACATTCCTGGTCTGGAAATTTCACAAATTATGCTTCCTTAACTGCTGTG